AGAGTCCAGGCTGGGCTCCTGGGCGAGAGGGCCGGAGGCAGGGAGATAGGGCAGGGAGATGGAGGAAGATGGGTGAGGAGTAGGGCCCAGGGAGGAGGAGGGAGGAGGCGGAGAGAGGGAGAAGGAGGGAGGAGGAGAACAGAGGGGGGGTGGGGATGAGGGAAGGAGGAGAAGGAGGAGGAGGAGGAGGAGGAGGAGGAGGAGGCGCAGGGGGCAAGAGGGAGGACGGCTACGAGGAGGAGGCGTAGGGCTGGAGGCAGGGAGAAGCCGGCGCGCTTGCGCATGGGCGCCGCGAGGTCCGCTGGGAAGCAGGGCTGGTGCTGCGCGCATGGGGGCGGCGGAGGACGCCGCGGCCCGGCAGCGTTTTCTCCTGCCGCTCCTCCTCCTCCTCCTCCTCCCCCTCCTACTCCTCCTCCTCCTCCTCCCGCGTTTTCTCCTGCCGCTCCTCCTCCTCAGGAGCCTCATCCCCCTCCTCCCCACGGCCCCCCGACCCCGGCCCGGGAGGCCTCCAAGACGCGCCCCCCCAGCCTGAGGCCGCCGACATGCCGCGAGATCCTCGCTCTTCGCCGATCGTTCCTCGCTGCTCCCTTGGCATCGCTCGGACGTGTGTATTTTTCCTCTCGGCGAGGACCATCGAGGAGCATCCTTGATCATCTGGCGAAAAAACCACGCACAAAACCGACAACAAAACACAGGGAATGGACGTCCGAGCGATGGCCAGGCTCCCCCTTCCCTCTTGTCTTAGAAGAGGAGAAGGCACCGATACCGCTACGTCTCCCTCGTTTTCCAGCTTTTTGGGCCTCCTGGGAGGCCCTCGCCGCCACGGCTGGATTCGCCCTGGATTTTTTTTCAGACTCTCATGAATCTCCTCGATCCTGACGCCTCGGTCTTCTCCTGGCAGCAGGTTGCGCCAGCAAGCCGAAGCAGCGAGAAGCATCACCCTGCATCATGGGGAAACAGCAGCGAACGGCAGCAGCGCGCATCACGAAGCAGGCAGCAGCAGCAGCAGCAGCAGCAGCAGCAGCAGCAGCAGCAGCAGCAGCAGCAGCAGTGGCAGCGGCAGCGGCAGCGGCAGCGGCAGCGGCAGCACACAACAACAGCAAGCAGCTGCAGCAGCAGCAGCAGCAGCAGCAGGATGCAGCAGGCACGGGCAGCACCACGCACCAAGCAGAATTGCAGATCAGCAGCACCTTGCAGCCACAATCATCATTTCCGCGAAGCAGCGGCAAGCGTCGTACCAACAGCACGCAGCAGCGGCAGCAAGCCGCAGTACGCAGTAGCATGTGGGGAATGCGAGGTTCGAGCCCCACGTCATCGTGTCAGCCTCTCGGCAGCATGTCCACCGGCACATTCCCGCTCGCGCAGACTTCCGTGGACGTAGTCCCCGGGTCAGCCCTAGTCTCTCCTAGAATCCCAGGGCCAAGGCGTGCGGGAAAGGCGCACGGTGCCCGCCTGCCAGACGGGCCAGCGGGGCCAGATCACCCCTGGAGATTCCCAGGACGGCTCCCGAGCGCCCCAGGACGGCCCCAGAGATCAGCTCAGAGATCCTCAGCGGCCCCATCACTATCAAAAAGGCCCGAAGAGGCTTTACAGGATGCACCACAGGGCCGAAGAGAGGCCCTGGACAACTTGCTTCCAGAGGGCTTCTCCACGACGGCCCAAGTCGGGCCCAGGAATGCCAAGGAGGCCCAAGAGGGCCCTGGAGGACCCGACGACGGCCAAGGATAGACTTGACACGGCCCGAGACGGCCCCAAGAGGTTGTCAAAATGACCCGAGAGGGACCTGAGCGATACACACGCCGTTCGCTGAAAGTATCTATTTTTGGACTCCCAGATCCCAATCTAGTTCAAGCGCCTTCCTACTTCAAGAATCGACGCGCTTTTGCTGTGTTCTGTTATTCTCTGGGAGGACCTGGACCCAGTCCACTATATCCGCCTTCCTACTTCATGTTTCTACCCCGAGAAGTCGTCAAAATGACCCAAGAGGCAGACCAGCCATAACTGGGGGAGCTGTGGTCCTTACCCCCCTGAGGGAACCCATCGCATCGACGATCTCTGGAGAGGGGCGTCGAAATCGATGGCCCCCCCGAGGGGGGTAAGGAACACAGCTCCCCCAGTTGTGGCTGGCCTGAGGGGGACCTGAGCGATTTGCGGGAGGCAACCCTGGAGCCCGACTGCATCCCTGTTCTGATGCTCCGCGTGCGAGCACAGGGCACCGTGGGGCCAGGCCCGTGCGGGCCGAAGCCCGCCGAGACCTCCCGCCAGAGGACCCGTCCGAGGGGCGGCTCGGCTCGGTGGCCCCGGGAGGGGCTCGGTGGTCGCCCCAGTCGGGAGTCTTGAGACGGGGGTCAATGCGAACGGGGGTCAGCCAAAGCGCCCCGTCTTGCAGGATCCTGCAGGGCCGGGCTCCTATTGACCCGGGTGTGGGTGCAGGATCTTGCAGGATCCTTCGCATTGACCCGGGTTTGGGTGCAGGGACTTGCGGGATCTTGGAGGATTCTGCAAGGCCTGGCTGACCCGGGTCTGGATTGACCCGGGTCAGAAGATCTCCGACCCAGAGCAACAACCGCGACAATGCAACAGGGTCCATCGAGACGGCACCGTCACAATGCAACAGGGTCCCTCGGTGGCGACCCCCTGGGAAGTGCAGGACAGCCCCGAGTAGTCCAAGCGCTCCGAGGCGCTCCAGGGCATCTCCAGGATGCCCCAGGGTGCGCCCAGTACGTCCAGAAGAACCCTCAGACGGCCTCCCAATATGTCCAGCCCCAAGACGGCCACTCGCATCACAAACATTCGAGCTGCAATGCTTTTAGCCTCCTCGCCTCTCTGGCCCAAGACAGCTCTAAATATGATCGTGACATCAGCTGAGCGTGGATTTCATCCACTCGACACCCTACCAGCTATGAAGCTGTCACCAGCGCGTGCGATAAAAGCCGGCGTGGTATGCAGGTGTTGTTGTTCCTCAGCGATCTGAGTGTCTCGATTTGGTAGCTGGGCAGCATATTCTCCTCTACTTTGCCGGGCAGGTTTGTATGCGAAGTCATCGCTTCAATGATTTTATCGTTCCCGTCATGGTTGGCCCTTTTTTCGGTCCGATCGGACTTCGCTACTTATCGGTACGTTGGAGATTCCATCGACTGCCCGCCCAGGCGGGCCCAGTCGGGCTCTGCCGCCAGTCGGAGCGTATCGTGAGCGTCCCAGCGCGCTCCCTCCACGTTGACGTGTCGTGGACAGGAGTGTCGTCTCCGATGAATCGTTGCGCTCTGATTCGCTTTGCTTGCCGTTCCGTCCCAGGACCATCCGTGTTCTCTTAGAAGGTGAGCTGTGCCACGTGGGGGCTGCAAAACCTCACATGTTTACGAATCCGATCTCGCGGAACTCGGGTCAGGCCTCGTCATCTAACCTACATTGCAGGGCCCAGTGCGTGCCAGAAGGGCGCAGGCTCCAATGAGTCAAAACCGCCCCGGGCTGGCCCCGGGCCGCCCCGGGCCGCCCAGGCAGGCTCCAGGACATGTCGAGAGGGCCAGAAGCCCCCAAGACGGCCCCGGAGAGCCCTGGCACGCTTAAAGATGGGCCCAAGACGCCCGAGATTCGCCCCAGACGGCCCAAGAGGCGTCCAAGACGCCCGAAGAGGCCTCCCAAGAGGCCTCCCAAGAGGGCCCCGAGCGACAGAAATCGTCGATTTCTATCATGTTTTTCTATGTTTTCGGCCTCCTCGCCTCTTCGGCTTCCCGACGCTCCAAGACGGCCCAAGAAGTCCCCCCGACCGCTCCAAGACGGCCGAAGAGGACCCCAAGAGAGCCCAAAGACGGGCCAGGAGGGCCCCAAGACGGTCCCAAGACGCCCCGGGACGGCCCCAGGACGGCCCAGGAGGCGCCCCAGACGGCCCAAGAGGCACCCAAGACGGCCCCAGGAGCGGCCCAAGACGGCCCAAGACAGCCCAAGAGGCGCCGAGGCGGGCCTCAGACGGCCCCAAGACGGCCCAAGAGGCACCCAAGACGGCCCGAGAGGGCCCTAAGAGCCCCCCCGGGAGGCCCAAAAGAAGGCCCAGGAGGCGCTGCACTGCGAGATGTGGAAAGCCAAGCTGGAGCCCGACGCCATCATGATTGCCTTTCGGCCCTGCAGCCGCACCCCCCCGCGCTTGCCCAGAGACCCCTCGCCACGTCGAGCTGATGTCGTGGACGGAGTCCACAGGTCTGCCCTAGTCAGCTACTGCGCTGGGATAAGCGCGTGCGTGAAGGGCGAGCAGTGGCAGCGGGTTTTGGCGCTGATGAGCGGGATGGGGGAGGCGAAAGTGGAGCCCAATTTCATAGTTTCTGCAATCACTGAACCAGAGCGTGCGAGGAATGCGCGATGTGGCACCCTGGCAAACAGGCCGGTGGGGCCAGACCAACCCTGCAGACTCTTAGGACGGCTCCAGATCGCCCCCGAGACGACCTCAGAGACGACATCAGAGGACCCCAGCACGGTCGAAGAGGTCTTACAAAGCGTTGCAGGGTGCACCACAGGCCCCAAGGAAGGACCTCAGGAGAACCTGGGCACAGTGCTTCAGGAAGGCTTCGTGCGGCCTCCAGGTTCCTCAAGGGAGCCCTAGGTTGTAAGGAGGCACCAGAATGCCCCAGGAAGCTTTCGACACGGCTTGAAAAGGGCCCCAAGAAGCCTCCAAGGCGACCAAGTCGGCCCCAGGAATGGTGCTGTCCCGAGAGAGCGTCAATATTGCCCGACTAATACTGCCTCTGCGTATCTCCCGTTCCAAGACGACCACACGCATCGACGACATGCTATTTGCAATGTGTTTAGCTTCATCGTCTTACCGGCCCAAGTAACCCCTCATACGGGTGGTGTCATTACTTTGTCGCAGTTGGCATCCATCGGATTCCTTACTCAGCTACGAAGCTGGAATTGACGCGTGCGAGAAAAGCGAGCGTGGCATGCATGTCTTATTGTTGCTCAGCGACTTGATGTGTACGACTTGGTAGCCGTTTGCTCGGCAAGTTTGCATGCGAAGTCATCGTCTTGATCATTCGATCGCATCCCTCATTCGATCGTCGTGCTCTGGTTGGGTCCGATCGGACTCGGCTACTTGTCAGCACGTCGAAGGTCCGATCGACTACCCGCGCTGGCGGGCCAGCTCGGACTCCCCCGCCATTCGGAGCGTGTCCAGAGTGGGACCGCTGCGTGCGAGAAAGGCCGGGACGCCTCTCCTTCGCGAGATGTGGGAGGCGAAGCTGGGGACCAAGGCGATCAGCTACCATGCTGCCCTCGGTGCTGTACCAGCGCCCTGCGCGGCCATCCGAGCGTGCGAGGTCTGCTGGCAGCGGACAACGGCCTTAGACCTGCTCAAGGCGATGCTGGAAGCCCGCGCGGACCCTACTGTGGCCTGTGATCCGGCCGCTGACCTGTACGTGCACGGCGCCCAGGCAGGTGGCCCCATGGACGTCTGCAAGCACATCATGCTCGTGGCCAGCAGATGACGACGGGCGCAGATCCTTTCACCGTCACTGACATGCACGCTGGTGCTGAGGTCTTACGACCTCAGTTCTGAGGAGTTCTTCCAGAACCGTAGTTTTGAGGAGGGTGTGATCCGACTGTCGCACGCTGTCGGCCGCAGCGGCGTCGGTCTTGTTGCAGATTGCCTGGCCCTGGTGCGGAGGTGCAATCAGGTCTGCGGCGCCTCTTCGAGCGCCTGCGCTGGCGTGGCACTGGATGAGGCCCAAGGACTCCGCCGTGCTCTTCGAGGCCGCCGCCGAGCCCTTCGAGGTCCTGAGGCGCAGCGTTACCTTGCTGGGCTGGGGGGTCAGTCGCCGCGATGTGCTGGCTCGCCCTTGAATTTTTGCCCTGGCCAAGGGGGCGGCAGATGTTGCTGCTGGACCCGCCATGCGACTCCGTTCAGTTCTCCGGAACGTGGAATGTCTTCGCCATCTCACGCCTGCTCCAGAGGTTTCTTTCCAGTTGTGTAGCCCTGTGGTATACGCTGGTTGACCGGGAGCAGGTCGCGGGTCTGTACAGCCAGGTCCAAAGCCTCGAAGCGTGCAGCGTTCTCGTGGCCGAGCTGCAGCTCGAGAAGTCGAGGCCGCGTGAAGCTGCCCTGCAGGGATCGGGACAGTGGTGGTGAACCCGCCCCCGGGCGTCCACGAGCAACCTCGCGCTGCGCTGCCAGAGGTCGAAAAAGCGCTGCGGGCCCTGGGCTACCGCGCGGCGTGGCTGTGAATCATCGCGGCTGCTCGTGGCAGCAGGCGGCCAAGGCAGAGCCCTGTGCCTTCAGCTACAACATGAAGAAGGAAGGCGGATGGCGAGGTCCTGGTAGGGTCTGTGTGGGAAACTAGTGTGTTGGCTCCCCCAGCAGCCTTCGAAAGTGGCGACACTTTCACACGTCGAAGGCCCCCAGGGATGGCCAGGTCCCGTTCGGGTCTCGGGGCACCCCGCTGTGGTGGCCACACCAGCAGCCCTCGAAAGTGGTGACAATCTCATACTTAACAGCCCCCCCCAGGGGTGGCGACTTCCCGTTCGGATCTGCGTGGGGCTCCACTGTGATGCCCCGCACAGCAGCCCTCAAAACTGACTGCACTCACATTTCGCAGCCCCCAAGGGATGTCGAGGCCCCGTTTGGATCTGCGTCTGCGTGGCACCCTATTGTGTTGGTCCCCCCGGCAGCCTTCAAAAGTGGCGACAGTTTCACACTTCGACGCCCCTGCCAGGGATGGCGAGGTCCCGTTTGGTTTTGCGTGGAACACCACTGTGCTGGCTCCCCCAGCAGCCCTCGAAAGCGGCGACAGCTTCTCAGATCGCAGCCCCCGCGCGGATGGCGAGGTCCCCGTTGGGTCCGCGTGGGAAACAATTGTGGCAGCCGGCCCCACCGACAGCTTCACACTTCGCAGCCCCCCTGGGATGTCGAGGTCCTGGTTGGGTTTGCGTGGGACCCCATGCGCTGGCCCTCCCACGGCAGCCCTTGAAATTGGCGTCATCTTCGTAATTCGCAGCCCCCCAAGATCGGTCCTGGTTGGATCTGCGTGGGACCCCATTATGCTGGCCCCCCGGGCAGCCTTCAAAAGTGGCGACAGCTTCAAATGTCGCCGCCCCCCAGGGACGGCGAGGTCCCGCTTGGATCTGTTTGGGACCCCGCTGTGCTGGCTCCCCCAGCAGCCCTCGAAAGTGGCACCAGTTTCACATCTCGTAGCCCCCAAGAGAAGGGATGCGAGTGGAAACAGCCGAGAGGAGAGCGCGGGTGGGTGTGGGGGCGAGGAGGAGAAGGAGAAGGCGGAGACCCCAGTGTTCTGTCCAGACCGAGAACCCAACCAAGGGAAGCTTGGGACAGACATATCACCTCGTTCTTCGCGCTCTCCCTCAATCGCCGCGGGCGCCGAGCGTCCCGCCCTGACCGAGCCTCCTCCTCCTCCTCCTCCTCCTCCTCCTCCTCCTCCTTCTCCTCCTCCCTCCTCCTCCCTCCTCCTCCTCCTCCTCCTCCTCCTCCTCCTCCTCCTCACCCTCCTCCTCCTGCCAGAGTCTCCGGCTCTACTGCACCCCGCACAGGATGCCCGGAGGGCGACGGCGAAGCGGACAGACACCCCGACGACGAGGGCGACGCCAAGGCAGACGCGCGCGCCCCGCCTGGAAGGCGATCGCTGTGACTCTGGATGCACGCCGGTCGCTGCAGGTAAGTATGTTTGGGTTCCCAGATCCCAATCTACTTCAAGCGCCTTCCTACTTCAGAAATCGACACGCTTTTGCTGTGTATTGTTATTCCCTGGGGGGGGCCTGGACCCAATCAACTTAATCCGCCTTCCTACTTCATGTTTTTACCTACTTCTTCCGACCGACGTGTACCCTGGTTGACCACGAAGGGCCTCCCCGATGGCTGGCAGCCTCACTTCGGCCTGGGGTTGCCCCTCTGGTCTCGGCCACTGCGGCTGAGAACTCTTGGCCAGATTCCCGAGGAAATTCGGGGTGGAGGAGGAGGATCGACGAGCAGGATGAGGAGGAGCAGCAGCAGGAGGAGGAGGAGGAGGGGGAGGAAGAAGAATGACGATCGGGAAGGATGGGGAGGAGGCGGAGGAGGAGAAGGAGGAGGAAGATCAGCGGGAAGAAGGGGGGCAGGAGGATCGAGGAGGAGGATGAGGAGCAGCAGCAGGAAAACAATTGGGAAGCAGGCGATTGGGCAGCAGGCGCTCAGTGTGTGCGTGTGTGTGTATCGGTTATCGCTTGCTACCGGCCCACCTTGCTTGTCGTCCCGTCCCGGCCGTATGGCCGCATTGTGCACCCGCTTGCCTGCCTCTCCGCACGCCTCATCCTGCACCCCGCCCCCCTTTCGCTCAGGCCCGGGTGTGCCCATGCCCGGGCCGATCCCTTTTGGATCCCTGCCCTTTCCTCCCGGGAGCCGGCCGCGCGCGCGCTCCGGTCGTCTGCGGACCGTTTCCGCCTCGCTTCGCGCGACGCCGCGATTTCCAAATCTGTGCACAGATATAGCATAGATGTACATGTGTATGTGCGTGTGTGTGCGTGTGCCTGTGCTTGCTGTGTCTGTCTGTCTGTCTGTCTACTGTCTGCTGTCTGTCTGTGCGTGTGTCCGTGTCTCTGTGTCTCTGTGCCCCTGTGCCTCTGTGTCTGTGTCAGTTCCAGTGTGTCTGTGTGTCTGTGTATCGGTGCGTCTGGGCGTCTGTTCGTCTGTGTGTCTGTGTCTGCGTGTGCGTGCGTGTCTGCTGTGTCGCCAGCCCGCAGCGGAGTTGGCGGCAGCGACGGTGGTTCGCATGGCCGTGGCGAGGCGGCGGGCAAGGTTCAGAGCAGATAGCAACACACAACATACCGATACCACTACCCTGCACTCGTCGCCACGGCTGGATTCGCTTCGAAATTCAAGCCAGAATGCGACCCTGGGGAGGTCCAAGGAATAGCGGTATCGGTACCGTGCTGTCCCCCCAGAGGCGGGCACGCGTGCTTGCGGGCAACTTGCGTTCCGTCACACCGGGGCTTTCGGCAGGTCGTGCGAACTCACAGCGCAGATGTCCTGCAATCTTTGGATCCCGGGGGCCCGCATTGGGCCCCAGGACCGTGCAAACAGCGACTCGGGATGGACAACCCGTCCTGGAGAAGGAGCCAGAACCTCTGGGGAGCCATGCTGTAATAATGTTCTTGGCGAGAGACCCACCTATATGCAGTTGCTAGTATCGTGAGGCAGTTGTTAAGCCGGAGAGGGGGTGAGGCACAAGGACTGGGGTGCCGAGGAGGAGGAGGAGGAGGAGGAGGGAGGAGGAGGAGGAGGAGGAGGAGGAGGGTCAGACGCAACGATCATTTGCTCTATGTCCGCACAGCTTTAAAATAGAAGAGGAGGAGGACCAGTATAACCCCAAGACTCATCAACGATGTTGAAGTACATCCTCCCTCCAAGATCTCTCCCCTACAAGGGCTCAGCTCAACTGAGGGAATGGCCCCTTTGGGGGACAGACGTGTGAACACCTTAAGGCGTGCCAAAACACTACTCTCAGGACTTCAACGCTCCGAGCTAGCCTGGATGTCGCGTCGTGGTGATCCTGAACCGCGCAAGAGCATTATTCCTGGGATTTCAGCACGGCGAATCAGAGTCACGGTTGCGCCCTATCAAGTCCGAATCGCTCCTGAGCGCAATTCCTGGTAAACCATGAGAACCATGGATTCGTTCAAAGTTGTAAGAACGAGTGTGCGCGGCGCTAAGGCGAGAGCCACACTTTGGAAAGAGCCCGCTTTCAATCCTTGAGGCGCTGGCAACTTTATGAAACGGATGTGTGCGGCGCTCAGGCGAGAGCGACATTTTAAGAAGGAACCGCAACGCTTGCAATTGTATGAAACGAATGCGTGCGGAGCTGAGGCGAGAGCCACATTTTGAAAAGGAACCGCCTTGAATCCGTGGAGCATTTGCAATTTTATGAAACGAACGTGCGCGGCGCTAAGGCGAGAGCCACATTTTGAAAACAACCCGCTCTCCATCTTTGAAGCTGTTGCCAGTTCTTTGCGGCAGGGCCAGATGTGAGGCTTATGGGGCCCCGACGCGTGCGAGAAGCGTGTCGACACGGGCGGGGAGCCGCATGCGAGCGCAGCCGCTGGGGCCGTGGGTGGAACTCCCTATTGGCCCCACAGCAAGTGTGAGGGGTGTGTCGAAGTGGGAGGGGAACCGCATGCGAGCGCAGCCACTGGGGCCTTAGGTGGAGCTCCCTGTGGGGCCACGGAACGTGAGCGGGGTGAGTTGAAATAGGCGGGGAGCCGCATGCGAGCGCAGCCACTCCGGGCTTAGGTAGAGCCCCTAATGGGGCCACGAAGCAAGTGAGGAGTGCGCCGATATGGGCAGGGGAACGCATGCGAGCGCAGCCCGTGAGGCCTCAGGCGGAGCGGGGCCATGAAATTGTGAGTCAGTCAGTCAGTCAGTAAGCCGTGCGTCCAGCAGGACGCGTTCGCACAAACCTGAGACACGCCAAACACACGCCTGAACACACGGGCGACACGCCAAACACGTGCAAAGGGGCGCTTGGGGTCAGACCTGTGACGCGCCAAACACGTGCGGAAGCAGCCGGGCGACACGCCAGACACGTGCAGGTGAAGCGCAGACGCGCCAAACGTGCGCGGGGAGGATGGGGGATAAAGGAGGAGATTACGATGATAAAGAACACGAGTCACAAAGGTTGCGCTCGTTCAAAAACTTCTTTGGCTCATTGCTGTCGTGGACGGCCTATCCGGTGTTGGCCATTTCGGCGCGCTATTGCTTCCGCAATGTATTGGTTTGATCAAAGACGCGTTATTATTTGAAGCTAGTTGATTATAGAACCCCCTACCGTCCAAGCGAAACTTCAGAAATTGGAATGTCACCGGCGTTGCTCAAGACCTCCACGTTCCTGACCCTTGATATGTACGAGTGCGGTATTCCCAAACTTATGCGTAGACATCGGCAGCGACATCATCTAATCGTTTCTTTCCACTTTCAACAGCCAGATAGAGTCCAAATGATACAACAAGTTACTGACAACGCAACTTCTGTAAATTGTGAGCTTCTAAATTTTCCCACTGGAAGCGTTGCTCCATAATTTGTCTAACTGTTTGAACACGTTGCTTGATTCCCCCCAATATGCGTGTAAGTTCTGCGATTACTTCACC